GGGAAACACAGGGTAACCCCAAAAAGGGAGCTGGATTTTCTGTATATGTACAGTCCTGGGGTTGGGAGACCGCTCCCCAAAGGGCCAGCCAATGTGCAGGATCCTCCCGAACACCTATCTTGCCAGACCCTGAGGCACCAAAATTCCAGAAACATGATTAAATTAAGAGCCCACACAGAGGGGAACACTGGAGGGAAAGAAAGGCCAATGACTGATTACATGGGAGAGAGTCAAAGGACACTACGGGTAATGAACAAACTAACTTCAAACTAGAATATCTGAACAGAGGGCGTGGTATCATAAAGATACTCGTAAACGCACATCTGAGATAAAAATTTTGGTCTTAATGTTAAGTTTTGGGGATAAGAATTTTGACACGGATGTTAAACCTTATGATAATGCTACTTTTCAATTAATACCTGTAAACAGGATTAAAGCTTGTTAGAGCAGAGAAACCATAAAAAACCTTGTTTGCTGCATGTGAATGGGGAAACGGAGGCATGCTGCCTCATGGCCTTAATGGTTGGATGCCAAGAGAACTATAACACAAACTGCCTTTGAGCTAGTCAGTGACTAATCCGCTTGCAGTAAACTAAGAGGGGAGGTGTGACGCTCTGTACCCGGGTGAACACCCAGCACCTCCATGTTCATCATTGTAAAATGATGGTGTGGTATCCAATGCAAAGTTTGTCATGTCGGGTGTCTTTGGAAGGCTCATGATGCACTGAGCATTGTTGTTACAGTAATGTTATAGTAAGGTTATAGGTTATAATTTCATGTATGTAGTTATGAGGCTGAAAATGTATCCTCATGGTTTAAAATAAGCCCAGGCAAAAACTCTCCAAGAGCTGAGAGGCAGTTCACACCTCATCAGGGCATGTATGGGACAAACCCAGCCCAGCCTCACAGGAACAAAGGATGCTGGCCTAGACAGCAACAAAAGAATCTGTTGGACTCTCGAGGGAGTCATCCCCCCTTCCTTTGGTCAGTTTGGAATTGCGATGAGGTAATGCTCACCTGACTTTGAAGGGGGGCGGGCAAAGCAAAAAGGGAAGAAAGAACATGATAAAGGGGAGAGACGTTTGCCATGCTCTTCCTCTCTCTTCCACCTACATCTACAGACACCACCACCAAGCGACTGAAGCGCTGATCAAAGGGGAGAGCCTGGCTGAAGAGCAACCAGCCAGCCTGTGGTGAGAAGCATCTAAGTTTGTAAGGGCATTGAAGGTGTTAAGATCAGCTTAGAATGCGTTTTGCCTTTATTTCATTAGACCAAATCTGACTTGTTATGTTTTGACTTATAATCACTTAAAATCTGTCTTTATAGTTAATAAATCTGTTTGTTTATTCTACCTGAAGCAGTGCGTTTGGTTTGAAGTGTGACAGAGACTCCCCTTCGGATAACAAGCTTGGTGCATATCGATTTCTTTGTTAAATTGACAAACTCATATAAGCTTGCAGCATCCAGTGGGCATAAGTGGACACTGCAAGACGGAGGTTCCTAGGGTTGGGTCTGGGACCGGAGATATTGGCTAGTGTCATTCAGTTGCATAATCCAAGAAGCAGCTTACATGCCAGAGGCTGTGCGTGAACAGCCCAGGAGTGGGGGGTTCTCACAGCAGAGCAGGGTAAGGCTGGCTCCCAGAGTCAAGGATTGGAGTGACCTAACAGATCACTGGTCCAGACAATACCAGAGGGGAACGTCACAGGTAGGTCTAGGTTGTATATTAGGAAAAACTATTTCACTAGGAGGATGATGAAGCACTGGAATGGGTTACCTAGGGAGGTGGTGGAATCTCCATCCTTAGAGATTTTTAAGGCCCAATTTGACAAAGCCCTAGCTGTGATGATTTAGTTGGGGTTGGTCCTGCTTTGAGCAGGGGGTTGGACTAGACGACCTCTTGAAGTCTCTTCCAACCTTAATCTTCTATGATTCCATGGCCAGAAGGGACCATTGTAATCATCTAGTCTGATCTTCTTTATAACACAGGCCATAGAACCTCCCCAAAATGATCTCTAGCTGTTAGAAAATAATTCCTAGCTTTTAGAAACACATCCAGTCTAGATTTAAAAATTATCAGTGATGGGGAGTCCATCATGAAGCTTGGTAAATTGTTTCTTTTAAAAAATAAATAAATATATGGAGATATACCTATCTCATAGAACTGGAAGGGACCCTGAAAGGTCATTGAGTCCAGCCCCCTGCCTTCACTAGCAGGATCAAGTACTGATTTTGCCCCAGATCTCTAAGTGGCCCCCTCAAGGATTGAACTCACAACCCTGGGTTTAGCAGGCCAATGCTCAAACCACTGAGCTATCCCTCCCCGCAACCAATGGTTCCAATGGTTACTTACTCTCATTGTTAAGAATTCAAGCCTTAGGGCATGTCTACACTTACCTCTGCAGCGATCGATCCAGCAGGGGGTCGATTTATCGCATCTAGTGAAGACGCGATCAATCGACCGCCCGGTGCTCCACCAGAGCGAGAGGCGCAGGCGGAGTCGACGGAGGAGCATCAGCAGTCGACTTATCACAGTGAAGACACCGCGGTAAGTAGATCTAAGTATGTCGACTTAGAAGTAGATCTAAGTTATGAAGTTGCGTAACTTAGATGAAACACCCCCCTCTCCAAGTGTAGACCAGGCCTTATTTTTAGTCTGAATTTGTCTAGCTCCAACCATTTTATCATGTTATATCTTTCTCTGATAGACTGAAGAGCCCATTATTAAATATTTGTTCCTCGGGCGCAATCACTCAAAGAAGAATTTCAGTAACAGCAGATAGGGCATTTTCAGAGAGATTGAACTAAAGATACTTGTTTGTCTCTGCTACACTATTCATCTTCTTTTGGCATACAAACAATAAACATTCTGTTAAATAACATTATTTTCCAAATGTCAAGTAAAGATGAGACAAAATATCACCAAAATGTTTCAGAATTTAGAAAAAAGGCTTTACATACTGAAACAAAGAAATTATTAGATTAATTAAATTTAGCATTAGGAAATAACATACAGTTCAATATTGCAAATAAGCAACATGAAATATATTTGAATTTTGATAAAAACTTGCTGAAAGAGCAAAATTCAGTTGTAACCATGAAAAACAAAGTCAAAGAGTCTAATACTCATATTTATTGAAATGAAGATATACAATTATTGTTACCTGATTATTTCTCTCTCTCACAAAAATTATATTAAAATTCATGGATTTTTAAAGCCAGAAGCAACCATTATGATAATGTAGTCTGACCTCCTGCATAACACAAGCCAAAGAATCTCACCCAGTGATCCCTGCATCAAGCTCATAACTTCTGGTTGCACTACAGCATCTTTTAAAAACATATCCAATCTTTATTTAAAAGACTTCAAGTGATTGAGAATCCACCACATCCGTTGGTAAGTTATTCCATGGGTTAATTACCCTCACTGTTAAAAATTTGCACTTTATTTCTAGCTTGAATTTGTCTAAAATTCAATGGTTGGAAGTTGAAGCAATGGTGTCATTAACATCGACTCCAATAAACGCACTATTTCTTTTAAATGAACACGCTATATAAAGCAAATTCTTTGGCCACCAACCTTATTTACAGCTTCGACGAGTGTTCTCATTTCCTTCTCAATATCACTGACAAACTTTAAATCTTTCCTGAAATAATAAAGAATTATAATTCACCTAGTATACAAGATAAGAGATAAATGCAGCATTTATCTACCACATATGTACATTGATAAATGCAATACCATTGAATAAATTAGGAGGAGAGGGTTAGAGTGACCAGCCAATCAGCACAGGGCAGAGAACGTTCAGCCAGAACCGTAGGAAGCTTTCTGTGTTCGGCGATATCTGCTTTGGTTGCTTCTGCTCTTACAGGCTGAAATGTATGGCTGGCTCTTCTCTTCAGAGGGGCACCACCTAGGTCCTATTCCCCCATGGAGGGAGGGAGAGAGAGAGAGTGTGGTGTGGTTCCCTTGCACAGTTCTGGGTCCAGGTGATACTGGATGTATTCTGGCTCTCTTTAGACACACTCCCCACTGCCTGAGAAACCAGGGAGAGGCCCGCTGAAGGATGTCTCCTTGTTTTAGGCTGTCTGTGACAGGAAGGGGAGCTAAAGTGAATCCTGCTCCCAGGGTCAGTGTAACCACTAGGGGAACTAGGCGGCCGCCTAGGGTGCCAAGATTTGGGGGTGCCAAAAAGCGGTGCCCCCAAATTTTTTTTACACTACAGTGGAGTCACACCTTACGTGGAGGTTAGGTTCTAAAGTCACCGTGTAAGAAGAAAATTGCGTATAGTGAGAATTACGATAAAGTACAGTATACACTAGAACAGGGTCCTCAACCTACGGCACGCATGTCAAAGGTGGCACGCGAGCCGATTTTTTTTTTAATGGCAGGCTGCGGGTCCCGGCCACCGCTGAGCCTGCTGCCGACCTGGGGTTCCGTTCACTCAGCTGGCAGCGGGCTGAGCAGGGCTGGCTCCTGCCAGCCTGGGTCCCAGCCGCCAGCCCCGCTCAGCCCGCTGGGGTCCCAGCCGGCTCCGCTCAGTCTCCTGCCGGCCTGGGTGAA